TTTCCTCTTCCTCTTCCTCTTCCTCTTCCTTTCCCTTTCCTTTTCCCTTTCCCTTTCCCTTTCCCTTTCCCTTTCCCTTTCCCTTTCCCTTTCCCTTTCCCTTTCCCTTTCCCTTTTCCTTTCCCTTTCCCTTTCCCTTTTCCTTTTCCGTCTCCCCATACCCGGGGGCTGCCGGGCATCCATCCCATCCCCATCCCTATCCCCATCGCACCGCCCGCCCACCCCGCCTCAGGTGCAGCCCGGCCCCCGGTCCCGCACCCCGCCTCCGCGCCGCCGACCCGTCTAAGACCCGCGCTGCCGCAGGCGGGGCGCGGCGGCGATGGGTGCCCGCGGAGGTTCGGGGCTGTATGTGGGACGCGGCACGGCCGCTCTGCTGGCTGCGCTGCTGCTGTCGCTGCTGGCCGCGCTGTTGGCTCTCGCCGCTCTGTACGGGCGCTGCCGGCACCCGCCGCCCCCCGCCCGCCCGGCGGCAGCGCCCGGTCCCGACCCCGGCGTGCCCGGAGCCCCGACGGGGGTCTCGCTGCGAAGGCTGCCGCGGCACCTGCTGCCGCTGCACTACGAGCTGGAACTGTGGCCGCGAGTGCGGCCGGGACAGGAGGAGCCCTTCGGCTTCAGCGGGCAGGTGAACATCACGGTGCGCTGCCGCCGGGACACGCGGAGCGCTGTGCTGCACAGCGCCGGTCTGAAGTCCCACAGTGCCGCCGTCCTCGGGCCGCTGCCCCAGGCGGGAGCAGCCGTGGAGGTGGAGGGGCTGCGGCTGGAGGAGGAGGGCCAGCTGGCGGTGCTGGAGCTGCGCGAGCCGCTGCTGGCCGGGCGGCGGTACGTGCTGCAGCTGAGCTTCCACGGCCGCCTGCGGGAGGACCGCGAGGGGCTATTCCTCACCCGCTACACCGACCTGGGCTGCAGCAGGTAGGGCGCTGCACCTGACCATGCATCGTGCGCGGGTCCGTCCGCCGGGAGTGCGTGCGTTGCAAGCAAACGAGGAGTTCGTTTCAGACAACAGAAGCCTAAGATTGCGGTTTCGGGCTTCCCGGCTGCAGGGGGTTTGAAAGAAGGCTCTTAGCGTAGGGGTAGGAAAGGTTCTTAACGAGGGAATCATTCTTTATGATGTTAAAGATGCGGAAAAGTGCTGCGGAGGATGCAGAGTTACGGTTGAGGTGTTCTTATCTCCCAGCCTGCTCATGAATTCACTAAAAGTGAAGTAATTGAGCAGTTCGCAGAGCCGTGTCCCGAGCAGGTTGTGCCCGGGTACCTGCAGGATCCGTGTGTGTGTCACTGTGTGAATACCAGCAGCACCAAACCCAAAATGAGGAGAGTTCCTCTTGAAACAGAATCGTGTGATTTTCTGTAACAGTTCCTACCGTGAGTTGGCTTTCTCTCTCATTCACAGATATGTTTGTGCAATTTTTGATTTAAGTGCCTTGATTGTGTTGCCTAATTTACATAATTAAAGTAACCTAAATAGAAATCAAGCAATCTTTTAGTTGTTTAATTCTGCATCAGCGTGCTTTACGATGCCATATTAACTCAGACAAGTTCCATCTAGAACATGCTGAATTAGATAGTAGTATTTTTCAATTCATTCTATATTTGGAGGAGGTGATTGTGAGGAATACGTTCTGTAAGCATTATAGCAAGTTAACGATGGAAGAATTTGGATTCCAATGGATTATATAGTTCAGGAATGATTTAAAAGTATTCACTATCTTTCAGCTCTAGGCTGCCAGTACAAAGCCCATGGCTGCTCTGTAAGGAAATCGTCCCCTCCTGTAGGCAGCACAGTAACTTTCTGCAGGGACTTGCACCTGGCTCTGGCAAACCTTTGCTGTCTGATTCTCGCACTGGCTGGAGACTTCAGTTTGTAACTGAAACCATCAGTTGCAGCAGACAATGTACCGTTTATCTGCAGTCAAACAGATTCTTGTATTTCTTTGCATGTGCTGGAAGTTTTAGTGGTTTTGTAATTTGTGCTTGCGGAGCCACAAGGAACCTCTTGTTTCAGAGTTGAGGCACAGGGCTGCACCTCAGCTCTGGTACCTTGCTGCTCAATCAGACACCCACACTGCTCCTGTTGGGTGAGCAACCCTACCTGGTTGATGCCAGGCAGAGTGCCTTGCCCCTGCTCCAGCTCAGAGCAGAAGTGTGCAGCCAAGGAGGTGTGGGGAGGCAGCTTGCAATGAGAACTATCTGCTCTGTCCATAAGTGCAAACCTCACTTCTGAGCAGGACAGAATAACCCAAACTCAAACTTCACCTACTTCCCAGTTTAGAAACTGCTCACAGTCAGAGCAGTTCACACACACTGAAGACTGTGTGTGTTTTTTCTGTTACTGACAATTTGTACCATCCACCTGATCATTTCTGACACACAAAAGAGAGCTCTGAAAGATCGAAGTGCTCTCCATGAATACCACGCTATCCATGGTGAATGCAGCATCAAAGGAAGTAAAAAAGGAGGATGAGTACGTCACTAGCACTGAGTGTGCGGAAGGCTTTCCTTCTGAAGAAGGCATCTTTACTCTGCATATAGCCAGGAGATCCCGTGGCAGGATGAGAGCAGGCAGAGATCTGTAGAAACCACCTGCGCCCTTCTTGAGCGGCACTGGCTCAGACAGAAGCAGGTTTGTTGAGCATCATTCTGCATGCAGACCTTGTAGTTCTGTGAACAAGCTCACGTAGACTGTTCCAGGTTTAGTGAGATCACTGCAGAGCACAGTGTGTGTATGGTAGGAGGGGACTCTGTGAGCAGAGCCCAGCACTGCCCTGTCTCAGGACAGACCAGGTCCAGAGGCTCCAAAAGGGACCCACCACCATCAGCACTGAGCTGTGAGTGATGCTGGGTGCTGGGAGAGCAAACTGAGGGAAGGGAAAACCTCTGCACTACAGCAGCTGGGAAAGTGCAGCAAGGAACGTGAGAGGGAGAAGCCCTGCAGGCACCAAGGGCAGAGCAGGAGGGCAGGAGGTGCTGCAGGCACGGAGCAGCCCTGCAGCCCAGGACAGGCTCATGCAGGAGCAGGCTGTCCTGTGTGGCTCATGGGCACTGAGCAGAGCAGTCTCCACGCACAGCATGGGGGTGCCTGGCAGCCAGCTGTGGCCATCTCTGCAAAAAAAGACCCATGCAGCTTCTATACGAACACCTGATTCCGTATGGCTGATGTTAATAAGCATTGCAAAATGTGATCACACTATTTGTGCTGATTGTTAACCACTTGCTTATGCACCAAGTGGTGGAAAGGGGAACTGGAACAGTGCTGGCACAGTCAATCGTGCCTCACAGTGGGGTGCCTGAAATTCTTGCCTCTTATGAACCGGTGAGTGAGAGTATCAAAGTGACGTGACAGAAATCAGATGAAATATCAGGTTTGGTGTTTTCTTGGGTTCAGTGTTAGTCTGAGCACCATTTCCCTGAGGACTGCTGGGGATGACCAGTGCATGTAATAGAATGCTGCTCACTGTAGAACCCCCTTACTTTGAGCCTCTTAAGGTTTTGCTAAATGGTTTAGTTGCTACATTTTTTTAAAGTGGAACAAATCAGATATAAAATACATCAACACACAAAAATGCACGATCAGTATTACAAATGACTTCATTTTAATGAGAAAACAGTGCTAGGATATATCCATCTAATGCAAAGCATACCATTTTTGAGAGATAAACACTTTTACATGGTCGTCCTCTTGATACCTGTTCAGTCCCTCCACATCAGCTCTGAGGGAGGCGCAAGTGTAGATGCTGGCTGCTCACACTCTCAGAACTGGGTTGATGAGACCTGATGGGATGGCAGCAGCCAAACACCTATCAAAACACATGGTGTTACAGAGCACAGATTTGTGTGTTGCTTCTTGCTGTGTGGACGCTGCTCAGGTGATCTCTGACTTGTTTGGGATGACTTTGTAAGCATAAGCTTTTGTGTGTGTGAATCACTACAAGCAGGAAATGCCAGCCCTGTGACAGCACTGGGGTCACTGGAGCACTAGGTCTTGCCATTCCTTCATGTCCAGCTGCTGGCACTGCTTGGCTTTGAAGACTTGGTGGTGTGAAGACTGTGGTTGCTTGCCTGTTCTTCCCAAGGTTAGCAGGTGCATTGCTGCTTGTTTGTTCACATATGTAGAGGTGTTTCCTATGGAGTTTTTGTTGTTGCCCTTGGGCTGACAGGTGTGGAGCTCTGAGAACTGTTTCAGGCACTTTTTTTTCCAGTGGTTGGTGAAGATGCCTGGATAGGAGCAGTCCAGATCTATAGCTCTGTTTTGAAACCTGGACCACTGGGCATGCTCGTTCCATCATCATTTTCGCTGGGCATCCTGATTATAGCCACTGTGTCACGAAGATCTGCCCCAAATGCAAGTGCAATCTGTGTGCAATCTGTGCAGATGAGGCATAATTGAACAGTATAAGGTAGAAAATAACCTCCTCGTGTTTACCTGGGTTTGCCAGTGCAATGGGACAGCACTGTGCTGCTGACACTGGTGTTCTCCATTCGGTGTGATGAAAGCATGCTAGTGCATGTAAGCACAGGTACTTAACAGCCATTAAATGTACAATAGTTAAAATGTGCCACTGAAATAAGAGAACATGCATTGGAGAGGAGAGCAGGTGTGCAGAGAGGTTGTAATTACCACAGTTGAGCCCTGTGTCACTTTTGAGCTGTGTGCAAAACTTTAATTGATGCTCTGAATAACCAAGCTAGGCAAATGCTTCAAAAATATTTTAAATATTTAAAATATGATATCTGGAAAAGTTCAGCGAGTTAAAAAATAAACAACCATGACTTGACTGAAAAAGACTGTTTTTTTCCAAAGTGAGCTGTCTTCTGGGTGGGGAGTTTAACTGGGACTTGAAATGATAGCCAGACATTTTGCAAACCTGCTTCATCTCTGTAGTTAACTCTTTTGCTTTGCATCTGGCATATTTATGCACCATGTCTTGGTTTTGATTAGCTGTGGCATTCTGGATTAATCTTATCTGTATTTTCCATATAGTATGCTGGTTGCATCCCAACTGGAACCAGCGTATGCCAGGACAGTTTATCCATGTTTTGATGAGCCTGACATGAAGGCCACATTTAATATCAGGATTGTCCATGACCCAAGCTACGTGGCTCTTTCCAATATGCCTGCTATTGGTAGGTAAAGAGCAAATGTCTTATGTTTGTTTGTTTGCTCCTTAATTTACCTTAAAAATTGTGTGATTTGTATGTGCAGATGATAATTCTATCATTTGGTGCAGTAACATTCTGTTGCCTTGAAAATGTGCAAAAGATCTATGCTTGTTAACTTAAATATTCAGTTATTCATAATTGATGTATTTGATGACAATAGCCATCCTTACCAGCTGTGATGCATTTTACTCTGGTTGGTGGAGGCTGCAGAGGGTTTGATTCTTAGCATTTACTGTGGTGTCAGTGTGTCTGTCTTCCTGTATGACATCTGCTTAAAGCAAAACAGCAGCTCCAATACCCAAATCCAGAGGTCGTGGCATTAAAGGATTGCATTTCATTCTAGCTAGATTTTAAGATGTATTTTCATCGTATGTAAAGATGTTTTACCTTGCAGAGAGACTACAGCCCTCTGTCTATGTTAAAACCAAGGATAACATGACTGTAAGACTCCAGAGATGCTCTTCCTGTCCCGCAGTTTGTCCACCTGATAAAACTGATACAGCATCTTATGCTTCTAGGACTTCAATGAAAAAGATCGAGTGGTTTTTGGGTGCTTGCCTGAAAGGGTCCTGACTGATATGTGGTGGTAGCAAGGAGTTCGGCTGCTTGCCTTCTAGCAGAGGGATATGATGTTAATGCAGAAATAAAGCATATCAAGAGAGGTGTGAAAACAACAAGCAAAAAAACAGCCTGCAGGAAATATCAATTCCTGGTTTGTCACAGAAGATTAATTTCTTGAATATCTCTTTAGTATTTTCTTCAATATTTTCTCCAATATTTTTTCTAGATGTATCTGAAATGAAGGATGAAAATGGAAGCCTGTGGAGTGTTACCACTTTTAACACCTCACTGAAAATGCCAACTTACTTAACTGCTTTTGTGGTCTGCGATTTCGACTATGTCAACACAACAGAGCGAGGAAAGGAGGTAAATACAGGGTGCACAACACACCATAGAGTTTGGTGCACAACTTGGCTCTGCCATGCATCACTGCTTCAGAAGGTATCACAGACGTTCACTGTGTGTCCCACTCCAGAAGTGTTAGCTTAAGTGGCAAAACTACTAGCCTTTATCCTGCAGATAGTTCTGCAGAAAGCTCTCCTTTTCAACAGTTGGCATATTGTCCTGCCCCTATTGTTACATAGAGGTACACGGGCACAGTTCCACAAGAAGGTGTGAGTTTTGTCTGTTAAAACTTTAGAAGATGATGTTCAAAATCAGGATCTTATCTCTTTATTTTTCTTAGTTGGAAAAAAAAATATCCATTTCCACTGCTGTGACAAACCAGTGAATCTGTGTCTTGTTCTTCAGGGCCCTGTCATGACTTCAGTATGAGAAACAGTGTGCCCCAAGCTTTCTGTATACTTGTTTTTACTACAGTGGGCACATTTTTTCTGACTTCAAAAATGACAGTTTTGTGTTTGAAGGTTCTTCACCACTGGGTAGATGGGTTTTTCTTCACCACAGGGTATTTCTACTTTGATTGCTTGTGGTTCTGGTTTGTACCTTTCTCTTGGACTGATGGGTGCTGACAGCAGACAGCTAAGCATTCAGATGAGCACTTTTCAGAGGAAGAAGGCAGTTGCCTCTTTAGTACTGTGTCAAAGCAAATGGAACAGAGAAGGAATGTGGGTCCTGCTTAGAGGTGTAGAGGTGTTCTGCTCAGCGCTTCTCTCCTCCTAGCAGCAAAGGGAGGCCAGTTATCAGGTTTAGGATATGAAAAAGCTGAAGAAGTTTTCTATTTTCAGATGGGAAAAACTCTCTGAGTGTGTTTCCCTTCCAGTAAACTTCACCACTTGGGTTCCCTGGCTAGGATACCTTGGCTTAAGCAATGTGGATCTGACTAGTTTTACAGCATCTCCTAATTAATAAAAGAATAATTCAACATCTGTCGTAACATTCAAGTCTTGGCCCTCCTGACGTGCTGGAGCTTTAGATTCTAGGCCATGTTTTGTTAGGCCCAGTAATCTCTGTTGGGATATTTTTTGCACAAAGCTCATTGCAGGATCTGTGTCTACAGGCAGCATTTTCAAACAATGATTCACAGACGAGAGGCAAGGAGAAAGAAAATATGAGGCTTGTGGGAAATAATGCTTCCTCATTTTGTTGCAGATACGTATTTGGGCTCGGAAAGAGGCAGTTAAGAACGGGTATGTTGACTATGCTTTAAATATCACAGGGCCCATATTTTCATTTCTGGAAGACTTATTTAACATCAGCTACCCTCTGCCAAAGACAGGTGAGATTATTTATTTTCTTTAATGGGCCACAAATGGCTGCTGATGGTATAACATTCACATGGGTTCTCTTGCAGTATTTTTTTTTATAACTTACAATATTTATGGTAAAAAAAAAAAAAAAAAAGAAACAAACCCTAAACTTGAACTCATTGAAATCTCAGTCGTATCAAAAACAATCCTTTAAAGTAGTGTTTCTTAATAGAGTGGCAGGTAGGGCTAAAGTGAAGGGAGTTATTCAGACATATGGCTATTTCTGGGACACATCAGTCGAGGATGCTGAAGTCCCCAGGTATGCCTTGTAAATCTTTGCTTACTGTAACCCATATTTCCACAAAACATGCCTTGCTTTCTTCAGTATGTCCTCATCTGGTTGTTGAATTGGCTGAGTGTTCATGCATATTTCTCCTTGGTGAAGGATTCCTGCAGAAAAATGTAATTTCTGCCTAAAATCAATGCCAGGTTAAGTTAGTTAAGCCAAGCTCCAGTCAAGAAAGCAGGGAGCCATCATGTATGGTTTGATACCATCAGCATTGATGCAATGGGGAATGTGCTTTCTTATACAGATTGGTTGGATGTTGAAAGCACAGAAGGTGGGGCATATTGAAATTGACCTGCCCATAGTCTTGGCAGATCGCAGAACTTGAAAAGAATAAGTTTCCTCCTTTCTTGACTTGAGCATATTCTTCATTTGGAGGACTGTGTTGTTGGCATTTGAAAGAAAATCTGTCTAAATGTATTATCTCCCAGTGTAGTTAGAATAGCACTCAGAATTACTCTTACGCTTCTTATGGAAAGTATCATAGGCAGTTGGTGCTCCTTTTAGATGTTGTTGTCTTAGTAATCATGCAAGGTAAGCACGGATTGTAGGCAGTTGTTTTTCGCTTGTGCATTCTTCTGTTTAGCAGCACTGTTGATAAGTCGATTCATTATTATAGAATATTACTGACATAGAAAAATAGTATCACAGGCTTCCTGACAAACAGAACTTCAGCTTCACAGAATTCTGTAATACTGTTACAATCCCTGCATAATGTAATGCAATACCAGCTGCGTTTCCCACTTTCCCTGAAGTCTTACTTACAATTAGGATTATATCATCCAAGAATAGCTTATTGTAAGTGCTAAAGATTTCTGCTGTAACACAAAATGAAAAACAAACGCATTCAAATCTAGGGATGTTTATGAATTTGCTTTGGGCTGCTTTTAATGCAATTTTAAGAGACATCCCTCAGCCCAAGTTAGCTTGGCTGTAAGCCTGCAGCAATTTGCTTGGCTAAGATGCATCCTTCTCTGCTTGGGTGTAGCACCACGTGTATGCTATCTGCACAGTTCTTGGACTGGGTCTGGCCTGGGGTCCACTGGCTGGCAATACAAGCCTGCTCCTGCTTCCAAAGTGGTCCCATACCTTTTGCAGAATTTGTTCTCTGCTACTGAGTTTAAGCAGTGTATCTTCCTCTGAGATCCTTGATGCCCATCCATGTGACTCCTTTCCTCCAACTCCCACATTTGAGATGGAGAGCTGCTCACCGTGCATAACACAGGACAGGATGGAGGTAACAGAGCTGAAAGTAAGCTTTTTTTCCCCCTGAAAATAAATATTTGGCTAAAGGCAAAGGTGAGTGTCACCTTTCACAGAAAGGCAAGAGGAAGACCTCTGAGAGCCAGAAATGATTATGTTCTCTCCTAGCATGGGTAGAATACTCATTTTTGTTCAGGACATTTATGTGTACAAGATGCAGTATAGATTTGGCTCTGTGGGAATTTGTCGTATGGCTTCCTGGAAGACTGGTAATCATAGATGGAACTGATGACAAGAAGAGATTTCACTAAGCATTTTCAAGGGTGTTGCCACAACCTAGCGAAATAAATAAATCAACAAATAAGGAGGGGCAGGAGCACATGTAAAGCCTTTTAATTGCACACTGAATGCTGATCCAGCATAATACCATGTAGGCATTTTTACTTCCAAAAAATTTTAAATACTTTTTTTTTTTTTTTTCCTGTTTGAATCAATTTAGATTTGGTTGCACTGCCTGATTTTGGAGCAGGCGCTATGGAAAACTGGGGACTAATGACTTTTGAAGAAGCAGCATTGCTGTACCTCCCGAGTGATAAATTCACAGGCAGAAGGACGATTATTGCCTTAATTGTGTCACATGAACTTGCACACCAGGCACGTGGTAAAAAATTCTGTACATCTGTTTGCCTGTAATGTTATTTCCTTCCAGTTGGTGATGATGCAGGCGCTGATTTCTGAAGAGAAATAGTGAATAACTGTATGGGATGTGAGCACTAGAGAGCTGAAAGAGTGTTCATATGATCATATGCTAATTGATAAATTAACACTGAAAGCAGATTTTGTCTTATTCTATCATATGACAGACTGCATACCATCTGCATATGAGTTGATATAAAACTTCTAATGGACTACTTCTGTTCTGTTGTTTTTTAATGCAATAACTGAATGCTACACTAGAAAACACTGTAGGGATGTGGGGATGGCAGTACTGTCTATGTGCTGTGTACTTAGTACTGCAGTGGGAGAGTTACTGGACTTTGTGTTCATAGTGGGAGTGCACATACAGGTTGCAAAAGGGGTGTTTTTCTCTAAGAAACCTTGTGATATCATGGAACAAATGCAGTGTTAATACATTTCGTACTTTCATGCAGATTTACAGAGTTTTTCGTGTTTGGTTTGGAATTACAATGCAACTTCACAATTTTTTTGACTACATCTAATTTACTGCTGCTTGTAAAGAAGAAGACACCTAGTCAACAAAGTTAGCAGAGGATTTTAACGTTATGAAAGTACTTGGACGTCCTTCTGGCATGGTCTATAACTTTTCAGGTCTTCAGATGAGTATACTGTCTTTATTGCAGGCCAATAAATTACAAGGACTGCTTGAAAGTAATGCCTCCTGTTTTACTGTGTTGGCCCTTGACATCAGAGGCACATGTTGGTGAATGGCAGTAGAGGTTGAAACTTCTCACCAGTACCTGTTGCTGTGTGACAGATGGCAACAGAGGGGCAGTCTGACAGAATGGCATTGACAAGCAAGTGCCTATGGAGCAACTGTGTGCCATGGAATTCCTCTATGCAGTAAAGGCTGCACCCTTTCATCGATGCTTACTGAATGTTGCTGGAGGATGTGAGCACAGTGAGGTGGTGGGTGGAGTGTTTCACCCATGGTGGCAACAAAAGTGGGTCAGCCCTGATGGCGCACAGTTTTATGACTGCAGCATGAAGGCTCTTGTTTGTTGCTGGTGAAAATGCACGGCTATTGGTGTTGCAAGTTAGTGAGATGTAGCTTACAATGTGCTCTGTCAAGTAGTGTTACTGTGCTCTCTGTATCTGCTGTAGTTTCCGTGGAGATAAATGGTAGGCATTACTTTCAGAGTGACCTACCTAAATGTCAGCAGCTAATGAAGCTTTATGTTTTAAAAAAGCTGCAGTCCAAATTTTTAAGATTGAACAGATAAAGTGCAGATCCTCAAATGATCAGGTGTTGTTTTTTTTTTTTTTTTTTTTTTTTTTTAATTAAATTGCAGCTGAGTACACATCTTTTGTGCAAGTTTTATTGCTCACGATGATAGGGATTTGCTGATTTTGGAAAAGATCATTTCCCTGGTTCTGTTTATCATCCCCTTGACAATTTCCTTTTGGTAAGAACATAGAAAAACAAAATTTATTGTCTTATTTATCAGTGATTCTTTGGAAAAATGTGATTTTTTTTTTAGATTTTTTTTTTAGAAACATCCCACTTCTAATTGTAGCCTGATGTTATCTTTACTTTTTTACTAGGGAATATCTAAATAGAACAAGAAACTGGCACCATGCGCTGATGTGCACATGGTATGAAATTGTAGATCAAGCATTTAAAAAATAACTGACTTCTGACTTTCACCAAGAGGCACCTTCTTTTCCACTAAATTCTCAATATTTGCAGGAATATCCGTCGTTTTATTCAGCTGACAAACACACATCAAAGTCCTTCAGTGGGGATACGTGTGTTTAACCTACAAGAATGGAATAAGGCCATGTTGAGACTTTTTTTTCTATCTATTTAAGTGGTTTGGAAATCTGGTTACCATGACCTGGTGGAACGATCTCTGGCTTAAGGAGGGCCTGGCATCTTACCTTGAGAACCTGGGAGCTACTTTTGTCGAACCCAAGCTTTCATTGGTAAGTAGCAGTGGCTACTCAGTAAGGACTCAGTAAGACAAGGCACCGAAGTTCCAGTACTGGAGGAGGAAAAGGAAGATGCAGGAGATGTGATTTAATTTAATCGTGGTGTTAGCAACTTCATTCTCCTGGAAATGCCCAGGTCTCAGTTCTTCCCTTGAGGGTTCTCTTCTGTTGAAGGCTGTATCATGCCATTCTTTTACAGCTGAGCAGCTGTGATTCTGCATTGAGAATGAGCTGAAGAACTGGATTGATTTTTTTGCCCCAGGTTCTTTCATTTAATAAACCCATCTGTTTCTTCCTGGATGGTTTCCCTTCCTATGTTTCCAGGCTCTTTGTGTGAAGCTGGACATGTCTAATGGGCAGTGGCTAAGTTGGGACATTTTACTCCATGGGGTCCATGGATGTTTGGTTGTGGATAAGGCACATGTGGTACACATAGTGCACTAAGTTGACAATATGATGAAAGCTCCTTCCTATTGTGACCAAATGGAAATAGGGGCAAATCCCACAGTTTACTGCAAAACTCCATCCATTGTTAATCTGTGCAGCTGGGGGATAAATGCTGCTGACAGTAGCCATCATCTGAGGTGCACTTGGAGGCATAATCAGAGATGTATCTGCATGAGGCCCTCAAATTCTGAAGGAAGGAAAAGCCCTTGGGCTGGTGAGGCCTGAGACTGCAGTTTTTGAAGATGTCCAAGAAGGAAACTCCACTGAGACTATCTGAGCAGCCTGTGTCAGCTCTCCATCACCCTCAAAGTAAAGAAGTACTGCCTGGTGTTCAGATGGAGCCTCCTGTGCTCCAGGTCTTGCCCGTTTCCTCTTGCCCTGGTGCTAAGCAGACAGCTCTGTCCTCTCTGCATCCTCCCTTCAGGTAAATACATTATTGAGCCTGTTCATCTCCAGGCTGAAGAGGAACTCTAAGCATCCCTCTTAAGAGAGGTTATCCAGACCCTTTGTCATCTCCATGGCCCTTCATCACTCCCTCCAGCAGCTCCATTTCTCTCTGGTACTGGGTAACCCAGATGTGGGCCCCATGCTCCCTATGTGTGCCTCAACAGTGCTGAGCAGAGGGGAAGGATTGTCTACCTGCTGGCCAGACTTTGCCTAATACAGCCCAGGACACCACTGGCCTTCTTTTTAGCAAGGACATGTTCTGTGTCATGTTCAATTCGATATCCACCCAGGATCCTTTTCTGCAAATGTGCTTTTCAGCTGCATGGCCCCTGGTATTTGCTAGGGTTGAAGGTGAGCTCTGTTCCATCATTCAAACTGTTAATGAAGATATAAAGCAGGACTGAACCCCCGAGACATACCACTACATGCTGTCTTTCCACTGGATCTTGGGCTACCGATCACCCAGTTACAAAATGACTCTGGAACATTAAATGTACCAGCTGCAAGCAGAGAGAAAAAATGGTCAACAAATTCAGTCCCATTAATAAAAGCTTTTTGTCCTTCTTCTTGATGAGTGGATATGCCAGAAGTGACCTGCAGTATCTTAAAAATGCATTGATTTTCTTCACCTGTCCCATACGTCGAATGACATCCAGTCATAGGACAGCTGGGAGAAACTAAATCAGCTTTTGATGAAAGGAGAGCTTCACTGCTTTATGAAGAGGAGTGATTTTTCTTGCCCATATTTCTTATGGGTGAGAGCCAAAATGCTGTGCAGTTAAGCTTCTCTATACTCATCCAGATTTTAGTTTATTGTTTAGTGGTGCAGCAGGAGAAATATAGAATTTAGGAGGGAAACGTGGATTGCTAATGATGTAGAAATGCACATGACATACATGTTTTCAGTTTTCAGTGTTTGTTCATTTGGTGTTTAATGTAATTGACTTTTTCCCTGGAGTTTACAGTGCAGTTGTCTTTGTCAGGTCCAAGCCCGCTGTCAGCTCAGATTGACAATTTTCACTGCCAGAAGTAGGTAGTGACGCATGTAGAAGATGTTAGGATTTGTTGTGAGACCCTTTTACCTCAAGGGAGTGGCAGGGAGGGGGAAAAGGACAATTCCTTGTTTGTTGACAGGCTATTCCTGTTAGTGCTATCTACATAATGCATCTTCTCTAACTGATGATTTTCAGTTCAGCTGCGTTTTTTCTTCTTGCAGCATGAAATCTTTTATGATCACATCGTACAACCTGTCTTAAGTCAAGAAAATGACTTAGAAGTTCGATCACTGTCAGAAAGTGAAGACAAGGTCAACGGATCATTTTCATTAGTTTCTCTGTTTGACAGCATCACATACAACAAGGTGAAAACATATGGAATAATTCCTGTTCCATCTTATTCTGAACTAATGTGATACACATTATATTTGAGAAAGACAGAGAATATCCTGCTGAACTGCAATGCTTCATTGTTTTGTCATGCAAAATTTATTTCTGCCGCACACACAAATTTATTGGATGTTGCAAATTTCTCTATGAAAGAAACTGTGAATGTTTTTTACCTCATAGGAATAAACTGACTTTTCTGAAATGTAATTTGAAGAAATATTGCATGAATAATTGCAACTATAACTCATGTTTTCTCATAGCTTTTTTTGTACTTTAGGGGGCTTCTATTACATGGATGCTTTCTGGTTTTCTGACTGAGAAGTTGTTTACCAGAGCTTTAAATGTAAGTTTGGAAAGAGGACATCTTCATCTTGATTTATAAGCTTGAAAATGATGAGAGTACGAATCACTGTCTGCCTTGCTGATGTTTTTCATTGAACCTTTGTGAATTCTGAGGCATCTGTTTGTTTCCTGCAGTCGTATCTGAGAGAATTTGCCTTTTCAAATGCCAACCAGGATGATCTGTGGATCCACATACAGTTGGTACTCAATTTATTTCTAGTATTTAAATCTATGTCACTAAGTATTTGTAGAGTGCTGTAGTGGAATTTGGCTATCCCTTTCACAGTGTTTCCTTTGCATAAAATTTACTTTGCCAGCTTTCTTGCCTTATGTCTTCACAAGTGTTTATTTGGGTATTCAACTGTACTTGTGGTCAGTGCAGCCGAGTACAAGGAACAGAGAAATGAGATGCAAAGTAGGTTTCTGGGTGCATGGATCACCTTTGTTTAAATGAAATTGCATAGCCTGTGTTTTTCTGGAGCTTAAGTTCTGCCAGATCGAAGTGTGTGATGCTCTAGACTTGGTGATCAGCAGTGTTGATGCATCACAGATCCTGCAAGTTCTGTAGGGCGGTAGATCAGCATTTCTCCCTTTGCTGGTTTTGTCAGAAATCTGAATAAGAAGACAGGTGCTAACAAAAAAAAAATTCTCATTTCCCTGCCCATCTAAGGAAGTTTTCTGCTGTGTTACCAAAAAAAAGCCTTAGGTTAAGAACAAGAGTCTCACAACTTTAGGTATGCAAAACTGTCACATGTTCTAAACCAACAAAGACTATTAATTCACACTGGCTGGGATTCCAGCTTGGTATCTTTTTCAGAGAGTCTTTGATGTTCAATTTGCTCATCACACTGTCATTTAAAATTGTGTTGTTTGCTGGTATGTTCATTTGAGTAAAACAAACAAATTAAGTCTGTCGTAGTCATGTAGGCTTGTAAGCATATTCATGATAAAAAGAGAAATGTTGGCAGTCAAGTTATCTTATCAAGTTATCAAGCACCAGTTCCTGTGTGCTGTCATGATAATAATGTCAATAATGTTCTTTACACTTTTTTACATTGATTTTGTGCATGACTCAAAAATCAGCAAACTGCTAAGCAATTACTTTCTGTAACACACTAGATTAATTCCTAGAGTGTTGCTGAAACAGAATCAGTAAGTGACTGCTTGTTATAAATCTTTCTAATTTCCCTTTCTGTTGAAGGTAGTAGATGCGCAAGATGAAGTTCAGTTGCCAGCATCTGTAAAAAAAATAATGGATTCCTGGACATGTCAAAATGGATTTCCAGTTTTAACATTCAATATAAGCACCGGCACAATCAGTCAGGAAAAATTTCATAATAAAAACCATGAAAACAGTACAGATTTTTACAAGTATGTTTCATTTGCATTCTTATCAGATACCCATGTTTTGTTTTTCTATTTGCAGGAAACTCTTCACAATGTTTTGACTGTTTTCTAAATTTTTTGCTTTGCGGCATGAAATAAATTCTGTTTAAGATTGGAGTTTGCTGTAGTTTCTCTGAGGGTTGCCTTCCTGTGCAGTAGTGACTTTTCCAGCCACAAAACAGCTTTGTAAGGACAGGCATGGGCCGTGAATGGATTGCAAGGCAGAAGTTTTGCCTGGCATTTCTTCATTCTTCATCTTTCAATCATTCAGGCTGAGGACCGGGCTGAACCATGCAGCAACTTCTTTCCTGTCAACATTTTCAGTCTCATTGTCATAGCAAAGACAATGGGGTTGCATGAAGGTCTTATCTAGATTACTCCTTTCTCAGAAAGCCTTGAAACTGTCATGTCATACTTGCCATGAAACTGTCAGTGAGAATCACAGAGTGCCTGCAGCCGTGCTGCATATTTAGATGCCTAAAAACATGGTGGAAGGAGCTGATTCTGGTCACCCGCTTGGGAGCCTCATGGCCAGAGTCTGAACTTCGGTAAAATTCAGCTCTTTCTGTAAGCACTGGGATGTATGAACAAAGCTTGCAGGGTGTGTTCTTACCCAGGGAGATATAAGAGAAAAGTAACTCAAGGCAATCTTTCCTACCTGTGGTTCTGTTCTTGCAGACAATGAAAGGATGGGGATTTCGATAGCTTCATTTGCTTCCAAGCACCAGGGAAGGAAGAAAACTGTAGATTAAATTAGTTTCTAAATAAAGCCAGATAACACAGATAAGGAGTTCCAAGTTAGAAATGTTGCATCCATTACTCTAGTTACAGCAATACTTAATGCCACATGAAGTTAAGCAAATCCAGGACAAACATTTCAGAATTTTTCATTTTCTTGAACAACTTCAGGCTGTCAAAACTTTCATCTCCTTTCTATGGGAGATTTTGATTACCTGTGACATGAAATGGAAGTTATTAGTATTACAGTTGTTTTGTTTGCCTGGAGCCATTTTTACCAAATGCACTTTTAAAAAGGAGCTTTATAGTCTCCAGAAATCAGATGAAGTGAGGAAATTAAAAAATAACTGGGGAAAATTGAATTATCTCCCAGAGAAACAAAGCAAGAGCATAGAGATAAAGTGGTACTTCTGCAGATCTAGCAAAATCTAGCTAGATCTAGAACTGTCTGAGTGCTTATTTAAATCCAAGCTAAAACTCCATTCCAATCAATGAACCTATGTGCTGATCCAGCGTAAGTACAACCATCCGAAGACGTTTTGTGAATCAGAGAGGAGAGAGGGAAGATGAGTAAGAAACTGATTTGCAATCTAATTTAGTGTCAGCAGTGAGGGTTTCTGTAAGAGTAAGAATTAATGATATTGCTTTTTTTGTTGTGGTTTTTTCCTTAAGCAATACTTGGATTGTTCCTATTTCTTGGATGAGAAATGGATCATCACAGCCCTTAATGTGGCTTGACAACAGCAGCAGTAAGTAATGTGTTTTTTTTAAACGTGCTAAAACCAAGATGATAAAAAGCCACCGAATACATCTATGAACAAATCACTGTGTTAATTTTACATTATAATAGAGAAAAAAATCAGATTAATAATTATTTTTCTCTGTGTACAAATGCCTGTCATGAATAGATATTTCGTTTATACACAAATCCAAACTCCAAGCTGCTCATGCTTCTGTATTACTTTTGCTTCAGTAGATTCCATTGACGCTAGTGAGAGTCCATGAGTACGGGTGGGATCTCTGGGTTTGGCTGTGATACCTCAAAGTATGATCAAGCTCAACTGGTAGATATGAGGACTGAAAAAGATCAGAATGAGTTATGTGAAATGGCCCATATTTATTGAACGTGGATATCTCTAAAAAGTATTTTCTGTGTAATTTTACTTGTTGGTGCAAATCAAGTGCAAACATAGTCTTACTAACAGAGTAGAACCCCAAAAGGTTTTAAAGGCTTATAATAAAGAAGTGAGCTTATAGGCGTCTCCAATCAAATAAAAAATTCAGTTATTATTTCTCACAATTCTTCCCCATATTGCTTTCCAATAGGCAGCTGTATTTTTTGATGGAAAGTAGAGGAAATCATTAGAATAAGTTAATAATTTTTCTTTGGTAAGTCAGCCTTGAACTGCATCAGATCTTGAATCATTTAGACGTAGATGCGTAGTGATGTGTTTGTTAAATGCTTAAAAAACTACAATACATTGTGTGCATTTTTTAATCTCTCTGCCCTTTGTTTGCAATTGTCAAGAGCTACTTGCCTTATCTTTCCAGCAAAAGATAACTTGAATGACTATTTCACAGTATGTGGACAAATTAAAGAGCAATTAGTGGATGTTCCAGTGAGGTGAAAAATCAGAAAATTTGCAGGAAAGAAGTATTAAGCAGTGCTTGCTTGGAAGGACTAGTGTTACATGGTAGGCTTCTATCATTGAAATAATAGCAATTCCATTTCCTCGCACATCATCTGCATTAATTAAATAAACATCATGTTGCCATCTGCCTGAAAGAACTAAAAAAAAGTGAAAATTCAGTCATTAAAACACCTTGTACTTGTATTTGAAAGCCACGCGTGAAACTTCCCAGAGCCTAGACTAGTAGCTTGCTTCCAAGTAAAGATGAAAAAATAACAGCAATTTTGATTTCAGTCTTGACTTTTTGATGTAAAGATAAACCAAATGGTTTCTTATATGCGTAGGGGTGTTGAGGGTATTTTTCACTTCACTAACCTTTTTGCCTCAAATTTTAGAATAGCTTCTGCAGTGGCATGGAAATACATCACAATGAAGCATCTAAAAAGTGCTGTTATGTATGTGTATTTTTGCTGAAAAGAGCTCTGTGGGAGTTATGCTTCTTACTTCTGAGCAAGTGAAATTAGGCGGCAAGCCCCAAGCAGGGCTGCTAATGGTAGCCAAGCATGCTCTTGCACGTCACTGCTATGCAGTGCTAAAAGCCTGTTCTGTTGGTTTAGGACTTCTCTGGCAATCTCTAAATGCTTACCTTATGCTCATGTTAGTGTGTTGGTCACTGGCAGGAAAAGACATGATCCCTAAGTGATGCATGTCAGTGTAGAAAAGATACCAAATGCTGGCAAAACTGTGCTACTGTGGTAGAACGTGTTTTCATTTGGCCTGGTGGTGGAGGCTAGGAATGAGCTGGATCTCTCAGAGCATGGTTTTGCTATTTTAGATGCATCTGAAAATGATAGTAATGATTAGCAGAACATTGAACTAGTATATGGAAAATACTACTAGCACCATATCCTAGCTACTCAGTCTTTTTAAATGTGTTAACTAGTCTCTGACATTTGTTGTGTTTTCCTCTTGTTGAATGTGTGAAAATGACAAAATACGAATCCAGCTCGGTCAAAACATATTGGAGTTTGAACCTTCAGTTCAGAGAGTTGTCTGGACTACTCACCAGTATTGATACACTGTCTTAAGAGAGTTTGCTGTCTTCTTAAACCAGGCCAATCGTGCCCAGTTAAAGCAGCACGTTAGTCCTCTTCAGGCAGCTTAGAGCCTTCAGGAGGCCCTTATTGGAGCTTAGAGCCTCTGGTCCCCTGCAACATCCTGTGGTCTTCCAGGGGCAAATAATCAAACAAGCACCTAATGTAGGCAGTAGTGAGATGAAATGGGAATGTGAGAAGCAGCCTCTAGTAAGTAATGTAACTCAAGAGGGCTGTAGGACTTTCATTTATAGTATTTATTTTCAGTTGTTTGCCTGTTGCATGAATTTAGCTGTTTTGCTTTCCTTATACTAACGCTGGTAGACAGTCAGTTCTCCTGCTGGGAGCCGAGCGCTGAGTTTTGGAGCAACACTGGAAGTGGCAAGGCATGCTGAGCGTGGATGCCTAGGCACTCAGGGGTGCTGTTCCCCATCCAGACTGGTGGTTTCTATATAGCCTTTCTGAGCTCTCCCAGCTGCCTGCTAGTCAAAAGGTTGGAGCTGCACATGTCTTCAGCCACCCCTTTGCCATCTTCAGGGTGCTCAGCTCCTCAGGGATCAGGTGCTTGTTGAAGTCATTCTGCTACACAGATTCTGTGGGAGTCTGGGTACAACCTCAAACTTGCATCCTGGGGAGCACAAATGCAAGAGAATTTAGCAGCGTGCAGAAAATGAAATGCTTTCTCATGTCACTTTACAGAAGTGTTCCCTGAAATGCAAGTGTCAGACTCAGAATATGACTGGATCCTACTAAATGTAAATTTAAGTGGATACTACAGAGTGAACTACGATCAGTTAAACTTGAAAAGATTAGTACACTTGCTTGAAAATGATCCAAAGGTAAGATCATGTATATAATTTTTTTTTTTCAAGCTTGTAAACAGACTTCTTTCTGTGTATATCTCCCTGCATTTTTTACCAGTAATCACACTGATGAAAACCTGGAACAACAAGAACTCGTATTTGTCATGTAAGAATAAATGATCTAGTATTGCACAACTACAGTTAATGGCAGTCTTCCATAGTGGAATAGGAACAGGCCCAAATAGTTTCACACAGGCATGAAGTTGAAAAATAACATACAAGAGATGGCATTCTGTCTGCCAAATTATCTTAATAAATCTCTTAAATTTCACTCAAAGAATTGTCAGGATGGATGCGCGACCCAGATTTATCTGCTACGAGGTAACCATGGGGAGGAAAAACAGAAGAAAGTTTTTATTTCCACCAAAGAACAATATTTCTGTGAATGAAATGTTAACAAAAGCATCGATTTGAGGTGCATTTTGTGATTCTTCTAATGTTCCAGTCAGTTCTATAACACAGAGAAGATCTTATGTCACCGTGTAGGCTTGCAGTAAATGACACATGGAGCAGCCTGCTCAAATGGCCTTCTGTGCTCAAATGGCCTTCTGTGGTGCTGCATAGCATTTAATGTTTCCTAGCCCAAGCCTGGTTTCTGGTAATCACACTGATTCACTGGATTTGACAACAAAGCTGTGCGAATTTAAGCATGGTCTGTGCCTCTGAGAACACACGTGATCAGATGACTTCTCTGGAAGGTCTAAACCCAAGGCTGATGAGAGCACAAAGGGGTGACCAGACCTCTATAAGGTCCATCAGCTTTGTTTCATCTGAGTTTTTCTTCACAGCAAATCTAATCAGGACAGACTTACACTGTGCAGCTCAGGGCCATGCTTAATGGCTGGTGGGAAGGTTGGCTAGAGCAGAAGCTGAGCCACGCCAGAATGGAAACAGGGAGGAGAGGAGAAGTGACCAGGAAGAGCTGTAGGCAGAGGCTCACCCACAGTCTTTTCTTGGTCATGTAATCTGTGATTCAGATACTCTGCTGTGGACTAACCTGAAACTTCAAAAGGAAAAAAACATACCAGAATGAAATAACAAAGTGTATATTAGGAAATGTACAACTTCCAGACTTTACTTTTAATTCTAATATGTAATAAGAGGGATCCTCATGTTCTGCACTTTTTATATGTAAGTGCTCCTAAAAGCACATAAACAATCTCAGCTTAAAATACGAGATCAATTTTAGCATGTTTTGCAGAAGATTTTGGCTTATAAAAGATGTTAGTGACTTTGCCTTACACTTTTTATTACTTTGTCATACACCTTTTTATTGCTCTTAATGATGTGTCTAGGTCTATTAACACCACATTGATGCCTTCTGCAGGCTATTCCTGCTGTCAGCAGGTTCCAGCTGCTAGATGACATTTTTGCACTGACAAGGTAAGTATGTTTTGCACATGTCATGGAAAATGATTAAACTACATGATCTAATTCAACATTTGTACTTCTGCTTCATTCACCCCTAACCATACGTACCTCTTATAAACAACAGGCGTTCAACAAAATGGTGGAGGACTACCAGTGTTGGGTGATTTCTTTTGAAATTACTTTTAGTTTGTACCTTCTCTTAGCAAATACTTTAAGTAGTGGAACTGTCATGAACGCTATGAAGACTAACCGAAATTTGTTGTAAGGGAACTTCTAAATGAAGATAATTCTCCTACGTTTACTCAGGAGAGCCTCAGCTATGCTCTCCTGCATGACTCATAACACCTCTTTCATCTCCCCTGTGGATGGATTGGTTGGTCATTCACCTCTTGGCAGAAGAAGACCACAAGACACTTTTGCAGTTCAGTAGAAAATGACTTGGTTAAAAATAACCCAGCGTTCTGTTAGTTTTCCTGTCACGCTCCCTTCCTTCTGAAAGCAAGGCAGTTCTCAGAGGAGGTTCATGTGTAGAAGCTGTGGGACTGTGCTGCTGGTGAGCTCAGCAGTGCTGTGGGGTGCTAGAGATGAAATAAATAGATCTGTGTCATAGTCACAACAGAGATGTCCAAAGCATCAGGCAGCTGGGATGTGGGAGCTCAGGAAGTAGGTGGCTGAAGCACACTCCAAAGCCTGCAGAGGTGGTTCTGAGAGCAGGGGGTCAAAATGCTAGCAGTGTTTCTATTCTGGAGTTTTCTGTTCTGAAGGAGTGAGGAGTGAATTGGCTTTTCTGGGGAAGGAATGCATTCCACGCTAGCTCCATGGTGAGGCATGGAAGTGCCATGCTGAAATTGCTAATCTCTAGGGTAGCGTGCATGTGGTTTAAACCGTTTCATTTTATAGTAACGTTTATTCCATAAATATTGAAAATCTCTTCTTTGCCAATAAAAAGACAAGTGTATTATAAATGAAAACACTCTTCGAGTGAGGCTGATGCATGCTGCAGACACTGCCAGAATACGTACTGCCATGATTACCCCATTACTAGGCACTATGCTCTTCAATGTATGCATTAAAAAGTTCAGCTTTTCAATGACACACCATAGTTTGACATTTATTTCAACATAACAGTGCCTTTTCAAGGTGATTTCCCACCGTGTATCTGTATGTTTTATCATCATAAATAAATCCATGGTAGATAGTTAATGTGAATAAGCATGTTCAAATACGAGTGGTTTTTGTCTTCAAATAGGTCTGGATATATTGAGATTGAAGCTGCACTTGAACTAACAAAGTACCTTGGCGGAGAAGATAAACTCTTTGTATGGAATGTGGTATTGGTAAATCTAGTGCCTGACAATGTGGAAAGTACTCTGAAAAACTATGAAGTATACCCACTTTTGAAGGTATCAACTTCTTTTACTAGTTAGGAAAGATACTAGTCCATTTAAATAAAGTGACTAAAAGCTTTCTAGATTCTCACGAAAGAACGAATGTGATGGGTAATATTGTATGAATGCATTTGCATGATTTGCCATCATCTTTAAATAGGAGGTACTTGTTCACATGTGCTAGTCAGTGATAAATATCATTGCTTTGTGAGTTCTTACTGTAAAGCAGAAATTTGTTTGCATTCTTAGTATTAACCCTTGCTTTGGTTCTTTTTGTAAAAGTAGTTCAGAAAAAGCTATATGAAGAGAAAGAAGGAGCTGTCTTAGATACTGTATGAGATTATTTTATTCTGTATTTAAGATACTTGAGATTATATATATATATATTACTTCTATTTCATGCTACTTTTTTTTATAGTAGCAATCTCAAAGTAGTAATTCTCTTATGTTCTCAGGATAAGTATGTTCAAAATATGTGGGAAACATATTTTTTCTTTTGGGAACTTGTTTTTTTCTGTCTTTTCTCTGAGAAGGAGCATTTATTATCTTTTGCAAGCTCAGATGTGTTAGCAAAGTGAAACAAGTAATTTCCCCATTTTAATAGCACAGGTGCATCAAATCCCATGTTATTTATTTTATGTGCTTCATTTTAATGTTCTTTATTGTCAAGAAAGCAATAGAGGTGAATTTTTAGGATAAATGAGTAAGTAAAGAAAAACACAGCATAATAAAAGCATGCATTTGAATGAAAATAATTTTTCTTTCCCTTCTTTTAAAAGAAATACCTTTTAAAGAGAATGTTGCCAATATACCATTATTATGCAGGTTTTATTCGTCAAAATGTTGATGCTTTGGAAGATGACTATTTTGCTCAGTAAGTATTCTGCTCTTCTCAGAACTTTGATAACTGACACACTGTAGTAGTTTGTCTTTGCAAATTCAAATGCAAGATATAGGAAAATGGTGTACTTAATTTGGGTGTGAAAGAACTGTTGTTCTCACTGATCTATGAACGTGTTACTTATTTGTGATGATACCTGCAATGAAAATGCAGTATGTTGGGATCGTTTGGGATATTGTCAGCATATTTAGTGAGGGTAAGAGATGATCCTTTAATAACAGGAGTGGTAGCTCTTGTGTTTTGGAGAGTAGGTTTAACAAGTTGCTGCTCTTTGGGGGAAAACCTATAGCAATGGTTCAGATGAGCTTTATGCATCAATCACTAGAGCTTTAAAATGATTCATTTTGTAAAACCACAGCCTACTACAATGACTGATACTAGGTGCATCCAAAGCAACAGCACTATAAAAAATGCAGAAACCTAATAAAAATTAAGGTGTGTAGGTAGCCTCGCTGACATCCAGGAATACTGAAGTCAGGAGCCCATTTTTTGGCAACTTAATTTTTTAACTTTTATTAAAACTCAATTGCTTCTGGTAAAGGTTCTCCCCAGTTAACAGCATGATGTGCAGAAACTGGGGTCAAGCACAGTTTGAGCATTTCAAATGTGGAATACACATCTTTTACACTTGCTATTTTGGCTTTTCTTCAAGAGTGTATTTGGAAAAATTTTTTGCAACAGCATGCTGGCTGGGTCTCCAAGACTGTTTGGATCTGTCATCTGAACTGTATACTAAGTGGATGGACAACCCTGAGTACAAGTAAGAACTATAATGTGCTCTGAGAGATGTGCATGTGCAGGGGATGTGGGTGGTTGAGGGGCTTTTACAGGGGCAGGCAGGATAAGAAAGGGCTCTACACACTGCTCATTCTCCCCAGATCTACAGAATTTAAGCAAAGCAAAAACAAAATCTCAAAAGGAAAATAATAAATGCAAAGTTCCACATCCTCTGCAAATTTCAGCTTTGTGTTGATTTCATAATTACTGCTGAAGGATTTTTCCATGAATACCAAGATCTGCTTAACCACACAGCAGATGAAACTAAGTTAAGACTGATGCAACCATGTTGTCTGATCCCTTTGCCATACCTCAGCCTTGGGGGCATCACACATGCTGACTCAAGTTCTAGGCTTCCCTAAGGAGAACAGAGTGAAGCAATGCCAGTATGGCAATGACATGAACATCTGTCCATGGTGAATGTCATCCACGTTCCGCATTTGCATGAACAGGGGCTGGGAAGGGCTGTCAGTTCTCATGATGATCCTGGAGCCCAGTGGCTAGGTTTCTGGTCTGTAAGAATGAAGTTGAGCTTTACTAGAATCAGATATTCTGTGTTAGTGTATTGCATTGTTAAAAGGAATCTTACACTGTATTGAAATTCTTATTCCTTTCCTCCCTCTCTCTTCTGATGTTCTTTTTTTTTTTTTTCCCCTGTGCAATAGTCATATAATATTGGCCCTGGTGAGTGAATATTTAAAGTTTATTTATTATTTTTCTTTATTATAGTTGCAAAGAGGCTAATATTTTGTCTTACTCCTATGTTTGCTGCTATGTGATTGCCTAAGTGCTTGTGTTTGTATTCTGGTAGTAGTGATTTAGTAATCACCTCATTTTAAAGAAGATTTGAAGGGCTGTACTTTGGTGATAAAGCAAAAAACTTAGTTAGACTAAACACATCCTGGTATGTTTCAGAGAGGATTTTCCTACTATCCTACAATAAAGGAAGCAATGCTATGTGGAAATCTGAGACCAATGCAAAATACTTCCTTCATTAAGAGTATTCAAAAACTTTTTCCTTGTGGAATTCTATGCACCTTATCTGAGTTCAGGAGCTGAAGAGTCTGTGAAATATTAGCTCATCTACTTTTAAATTAAATGGAGAAGATTAATTTTGCCATCCCTCATGACACTGAGATAAATTTGAAGATGCTTCACAGTATTGAACTCTACATGTTTGTAAGTATGGAGGAAAAAAACAGCAGTAGTTTTATGAAGTGAAAGAAAAAAAACACATTTTAATGGAAAAAAAACGCATGAAGTAGACAACTTATTAGGTTTCAAATGAAAAAAAAACCAGTTCCTTTTCAGTTAAGGAGGAGGTTTTTAAGTACAGCAGGTAGGAAAACGACATAGACAGAAAGATCGCTTTAGCTGGTCTTATGTTCTCCATTTTGAAATCAGAACTCCTAACAGAATATGATAGTTGCTTCATCACAGGTGAGCACCCAATGTGTTACCATACCCACTAGGACTCTCACATATGTAGAAGGCAGTGGTGCTTCTTCCTTTCAGATAAGGTGACCATCTTTCATCTGAGCGTTTCCAGCCAGTTTCTGACTTCCCAGAACTCACTGGAGTTGTTGTGCTGCATTATTTTCACTTTTGTGAAAATTGTTTCTCAAGAACCATCCAGTCTCTCAGTTTAGCTCTCTCTTTGCTTATAGAAGTGAAATGGAGCTGTTTAAGTGGTTTGGGGTTGCTGGCTCATCTTTCTCTTTTGAAAGAAAGAAATGAGTCTGGAGGAAGGGATAGTGTTCCTGTACATTTCAGTTACATCCTAAAGCTAAATGCTGTTGCCATCAAAGGTTACAAAATCATTATGACACATCTGCACTGACTCCAGGAAAATAGTATAGGCTAATGCACCATTCTTTTCAGGAGGATTTTTTTTTTTTTTTTTTTTGCATCTTCCTGAAGGTTCACATAACAGAATCCTGGTAGAATGCTCAAACCACATGAGTACTTCCAAGTAAAAAAAAAAAACCTATGAAATTAATAAGCTCAGTATTTCAATTAACAAAACCCCAAGCTCTGTATGGACTTTCTCTCTGAACAGTACAACACAGACCACTTCAGGTCCACCATAGTTGTCACCAGCCAGTAGACCAGTATCCCATAGTATGCTGCCTGTACAGCCTGCCTTCACTGCTCAACATCAGAGCTGCAGCCAAAAGACATGTAGACTTCTACACTCAGTAACCAATGTCTTCTTGAAACTATTAAGACTATATAAAAAAGCCACATTTTTAGGCAAGGCTGTTTTCATAAGGCATCTTGAAAGGATGAGTTATACTAACTGCATACCCTACATATCACACATGTGCCTACTGAGGCTTCTTCCTTCAAGATTATGAAATAGTTCTTAAAAAATCTGCTTGCCTCTGTAACTCAAATAAGATCTGTCCTAGAAGATTTCCTTGCAGAAATATCCCTCACCTCAATGTAAACACTCAGTTTCAGCCAACATCATTGTTGGTGGGAAACTCCTTATACTTCAGAACATACCCAAATAAATAAATCCAAATTATTTCTTTGTAATTTGATATTTGTAAATTTTATATCTATACCAAGCATTCTAATGCTTTCTGTTACGGCAGTGAAATCAGGACGGAAATCGACTTTTTACGTGGGTAGATATTAATAGGACAAGGGGGAATGGTTTTGACCAAGAAGAAAGGAATTTCAGATTAAATGTTGGGGAAATGTTCACTGAGAGGTGGTGAGGCACGGCACCGCTGCCTGGAGAAATTGTGAATGCCGCATACCTGAAAGAGTTCACAGCCAGGTTGGATGAGCCTCTGGGCAGCCTGATTTAGGGGGGAGCAATCAGGCTGCCCATAGCACAGGGGTTGGAACTACATGATCTCCGAGGTCCCTTGCAACCCAAGCCATCCTGTGAGTCTGTGAAATCTTCAACACCCACCAGGACAGCTGAAGCACCTGCTGCTTACTTTTACAGTTCTTAAATGTGATGTCTGCATCAGTCTTCAGAAGGAGTGAAATTGCTTCTGATAAATTCTTTGAATACCAGACAAAGCATCATTGGGAACAGCAGTAATCATAGATAGGAAAAAGTTAACTCACCCAATTGGCAATAGAGCCTTTAGCTACAAAACAGTCATCACCAGAAAGCAGCTCTCATCCAAGAAGCATTCTCCTACCAGAGGCTTGCCCTTAAATGAGCCCATGGAGATGTGGGCCCAGTAAATTGCTTGCACCTGTGCTTCCTTTGCTAGCCACACCTTCACCAGTTCAAGCTGTGACATAAGAGTTCCCTTTCCATCTGTTATCCAAAATTCCTCCTACACTATTGTAGTCCATTCCCCTTTGGATGTTTCTGTCCTCTAGTCTTTCATCTGACTAGTATATTTACTTCAATACTGATCCCATTTCTGCAGGTATTGACCTCATTCTTTCTAGAATAGCCTAGTGAAACTAGGAATTTTTCTCATATTATTTTTAAATTTGAAGAAAGATTTCTATGGCCAGAAAGTTGACTGCTTTTCTGTCTTCTGGTGTGAGATAACTTTTACACCCTTACCATCTCATTCTTACTTAAGTAATTCTATGCAGATTAACAGCATGCTGTGGAGAAGTAAAGTGCTTTTTTTGTTGCATTCAGATCCATCCCACTGCCAGGGGGAATTTGTCCAACATACCATTAATTTGAACTATTTTCAGATAGCTTGCAGTACAGACTAGTAGGTAAATTGCTAATACTAGAAATTGCTGAGCTGTTTTAATGTTAGTGGCATGTCATTGCCACAGGAGAAGCTTTCTGTTCAGCCTTTGCACATGAAGTGTTGTATTACATGGACAGTGATTGCATTTATTTTCTGTTACAAAATGCACTGCTGTGTTAGGGAAAGTAACAGAAGGTGCTTGTTGCATGGAAAAATGTCACTTCAGCTTTTGTTTCTGTTTCCCATGTCTTTCTTACTGGATGTATTCACTGAAGAAAATCTTGTCTGGGATGATGTCTATATGCAGTTGCACCCTCTTTAATGGTGTGATTGCTATACCGTGCTGCGATGTACAAGAGTGGCATTGATTGCCTGTACACAAACTGGCTTGACCTCACTGTTTTTACAAAAAGTGGTTTTTTTGCCTGAAAGCTGCATGTTTTGTTAAAGTTTAGACTGTAATCAAAATTAGCAGTTTTATTTGGGTTGCTATTTTGTATTTTTCTTACTACGCATCCTTCAGCTGAAAATAAAAATTTTCTTGTTATCACTTTATAGCAATGCAGTACCTTCTAACTTTATTTTGCTTCACAGAATTCCATTTTTAATTAGAAGAACCGTCTGTTGCTATGGTGTTGCAGTGGGAAGTGATAAAGAATGGGATTTTGCATGGAAAATGTATAAACACAATGACTCCACAACAGAAGATAAAGACATCCTCCTCTCTGCCATGAGCTGTGCCAAAGAATCGTGGTTACTTCACAGGTGCCCTTGATTGAAGCATGTCTCTGGGGGTACTGCGCCATACAAACCTGTCAGAAGTGTGCCTCCCACAGAACCACACATCTGATATTCCAGTGGTAGAACCTTATGAATTTTCTTATGGGGAAAATATGATAACCAGTACAAACATACGTGATCCTTTTGCTGACATCACAACTTACATGCCCTTGTTGACTGAGGAAGAGAATTCTTGAGCTGGTAACTAGCATGTCGTGTCTAACACCACCAGTGGACCTGTCAATATAATTCCCTTTCTGAAGTGAAAGTGTACCTTCAGGTGTTATAGCAGACTGGTAACTAATCCCATAACTGCATGTTGTATGGAACCTTGTTCCCTTTAGGTTTGTTTCCTTTTTTTTTTTCGACTTTGAATCCACTGGCTGCCTGTACGCTCTGCATTGTAAGAAACAGCACTTATCATAATTCTCCCTGATAGTTTTCCCCACCACTTATGATTTTATGCTGTCTTCCCATATCTCTGATTGCCTTCCTAGGCTAAAATCTCATAGCCTATTTAGCCCTCTGTAGAAGTCAGATCACCCATAGGTGAAGGACAAACATGAAAATAGACTAACTAGCAAGCTGTTCACTCTGAAGTATAGACAAGGAGAAATCATATTTAAATTTCCAGTTTGGAATATCATATTCATTATCCTTCACTGACATCTTCACAAGATCTTTTCACTTTATCAGCAGAAAGATATTGAAGATGAGTTTTATATTTTGTCATGCCCACATTACCCGAAGAGTATCTCTGAGGACAAAAGTTTGCCAGTGACAGTTCTAAAGAATGATGATCCAACCACTGGCATAAATACGATGAGTCCAATGCTCTGAAAGTAGTTGAGTTTTTTCTCCTGCCAGCCACCTTGTGATGGTTGAGTAGGAAGAACAGATGTGGCTCAAAATACAGCCAGTTGGATTGAGAAGACATGTCTGAGCAGAGCTATGCTGATTTTCCACCTAACCTGTGGTCCTTTGGTGATTTTGTTATAGACACAGGCTAGAACTGGTCCTTGTAAAGCTGTAAGTTATATCAGAAGAAGACAGCAGCTCAGGAAGTTGTGACAATCTTCTTCCTCTGTATGCAGCAGTTGTTGACAAAACAATCTCTTTTTCTAAACTTCAACCTGAAAGTCTTTTAGGCTGAGGAATCTTAAATCTGTGTTGTCCTCAGTATAGTTTGTCCATTTGGTTAAGCATATTTGTGGCATGCAAATGGGAGAAACCCAGCTCATCTGCTCTACCAACAAAGTGGCTGCTTGTAATACTCTGACAAATATTTTTTTCAGCGGTGCTATAGAAAGCAGGAGACTGTAAAGTTACACAACAAAAAGAGAATTATTTATTTACTTTTTCAAGATATCCAGGCACCCACTCTCATTGATGTTAGTGTCAGGTAGTTAAATGTTTATGAAATCATGACTTAGCCTACTTGAGAGCACCTTGGGTACCTTATTGAAACAGAATCCCTCTGTGTAACAGCGTGTCTTACTTCTAGCTCATTCTCCAGAATCTGTTTGGAGTTTTCTCCAGAATCTTGGGAGCAGTTTCCCTTACCATGAGGTTATCTGATTAGAGGGGTTATTCTGAGTCTTTCTGTAAGATATACAAAAAATCAAATATCTCCTGTTTTGCTACACACTCATTTTACTGAGAAGTGGAAAGCAAGTGTGCAAGAACAGGGAATTTCACCGACAAAAGAACAAAATGCAACCAGAATACAACCATAATACCAGAATACAACTCTGAATGACCCCAACTTTGGTGTAACTGTCAACATTCCAGAATTTGGGTGGACAGAAATCCTCCTGAACTAATATGTAATTCCAGATTATGACTCTTAAACAGAAAGTAATATTAACTTTTTTTTCCAACAGATCCTTGCGGTATTGGCTCAGTGATACACAATTTTCTTCCAACTGTACAGCCAACATCCTTGAATATGTAGTGTCTAAGGACAATGGGCATCGTATAGCCTGGGAATTTGTTACAGAAAATTGGTCACTTTTAAGTGAAAGGTATGGTAACCAACCTGTTATGATTTCTCTTTACTTCTGTGTTTCTTTTGCTCCAACTGCAAATTTTCCTTCCAGACACAACATAGTTTGTCATGATTGATGCAGTTTTCTTAAGTACAGAGACCACAGTTATCATCAGAGCCTAATGTCAAAGAAGAGCTCATGTCAATTACAGAATGCTTTGAAATTAGTCTGCTCATGACTGTCCCTGTGTTAAACTTTCTGGAAAGTCTGGCCCTTATTTACCTATTTAAATGGGGAGCTTTCCCAAAAATCCCAGTTGTGAGAAAGAAAGATAAAAATCTGGCTCCTGGAGTACACTTTAAGATGTGCTTTGTGACAAGTGGTGTGGGAGACTACTAATCATGATGTAAGAGAAGGCATTACTGAAGTACCTCTATGACAACTACCATATAATATATAGTTTCCCACTTTTTGCTGTCCAGGCAGCATTTCACATCAGACAAAACAAACATCAGAACAAACTTTGGAATAGAAATAAACTCGTCCTTTTACTGATCTGGAAAAGGAGAAGAGTGCATGGCTGTGATGGTTGGCTGTCACAGCACAAGTGTTCTTTTGATATTGAATGATAGAATGGTAGCAGTCCATAGACTGCATTCAGTAGATGTTAGTGTAATTATATACACTTGCAATCAATATAATTAAGCTTGAGCAGAACATGAGCAACCTAAGCATAAGCAAAAGGAAAAGGGAAAAGCCACTTGCTGTGTAGGCAAAGTACAATAATATTAGCAATTACTCTTACCTGCACATAAGCAACAATTTCTTTTTCTCTGTCTCAACACTGAGCGTCAGGACTAGCAAGTGACAACTATCACTAGATGGTGTTGGGGCATTCTGCTTATGGGATTGAGACTCCATGCCAATTGTGTGATTAAAAGGATGATAGAAGATAAGTCTTCAACATGAGAGCCTAGGAAAAAAGGTAGAGTAGTTGGGGTAGCTGACGATCTGTAATCACTATATCCTGTCAGTGTTCTTGAGGAGAACATTGTTTAGACTATTGTGTATTCATTTACATATTCCTTTGTATAAGGTAGGCATGTGAACACTTTATGCAAGTGCTCCTAATGGCCCATCCTGTTCTGTGGTCAGCAGCATCTTGCCCTGTGCACTGGCGCTGTAGACAAATACTTTCAGGAATAGTAAGAACAGCAAAGTGATGTGGGAAAACTGGAAGTCAGAAGGGCGACCAAGAGTTTTAAAAGTGAACAGACTTGAAAGAAAGTGCTAGAACAGAACCATTACCTCCATGCCATGAGCACATCTTTGATCTTCACAGATGAAGCCATCACTGACGTGAGTTTCTTCCATGTTTTTCATCCAGGTTGCCTGTAATACAGTGTGAAGTAGTATACGCTTCCTGTGGGCAACGGGTGAATCTTTTTAGTTCTTGTTTGATGTTCAGCCAGACAGTTCCACAAACAAGAGAAAAACACATGGCTTGGAAACCCCCTGAAAATGGAAAACCCATATAGTCTTGTAGTGTTTCATAAGCACAGGTGTAAAATGCAAAATAAGGTCCTAACCTCTTTTCCAAAGAGAACTCATACTCTCTTCACAGAGATGGTGGATTGACACATACAGATTTTGAAGACCACTGATACTATTCATCTCTATTTAAAGTCCTAATCCATCCAGTTTGGATGTTAGCTTTATACATTGTCCTCAGGACACTAACAGAAACGCCAAGATTTTAGAATTGATGGTACTTATCATTTCTATATGGATTTTAACTTCATAAAAGTTATCTTTTTAAGTCAGTTATTCATTATAGCAGAGAAAAAAGTGCAGATCATATCAGGAATGAAAATGAGGGGCAATTGGTCTGTTTAATTCTGCTCAAATGTCTAAACTGAACTTTAATGGTACTCCCCTTTTAAGCGGCAGGGATTACACAATTGAAAACTTCCACCTAATTGGTACCTCCAATGTGATACATGATTAATAAATAGCTGGAGTATTATTAAATGAGATGGAATCTAGTATTTTTCTAGCATGCTGATGGAAGGACCCTTATCTCAATTTTACAGGTATGGGAAGGAATTATTACATGCCGTATTAAGAATCATGGGAAGATTTGTCAGTACAGATATACAGATCCAAGAGGTAAATGAGAGAAGAGATTAGTCCCAATTTTACTACCAGTTTCTACATACAGCTTTTAAAATATTTTGTTTTTTATTTTTTTGTTCCCCCTTAAAGAAATTCAGGTAATGTATTGCATAGTATTATTAAACTAAAAAAAAAAAAATAATATCTCCTCATCTGAGAAATAAGTGTACAAATGGGCACCCACAGCTCTGCAGTCTGTGGGTGCAGTTATTAAGCATGGCATTAAAGTGCTGCTTTGTGCAGGATGGATATTGTCCTGCTCTGTGTGGTTGCAGCATAGGAGGTTGGTTGCCTGCCTACATGCTAAACAGAAGGCCTGCACATGTGGGGTGCTCTCCTTTCTCTTTGGCCTCATGGCAGCCCAGATAATCTATGGACAATAGATTCTATGTGGGCTCCTGCTCGTCTGGAAAAACCGAGCGTATTGGTCTGGGGATTCCTGCTGAAGGGTGGAAGTCTGTGGCAGGTGGTTATAACCTCTCTTTAGTTTATTCACCACAGTAAGACTTCCAAATGTTAGTGCCTGTGACAAATGCATAACTATCACTGCTTGTTCCACAGTTTTCTTGTTTCTTCCAGTTCAAGTCTCCCTAGATTATTTCAAAAAATATTCCTTGTCTTCTCTCTGAGCTGCTGCTCAGCTTTTGTGCTGTTCCTATATCACATAAATCTCTAAGTAGTATCTGCCCAGTATCTGTCATTGTAAGAAAGAAATTGTTCCCCTTTTTTTGACAGATGCATCAGCAAATAACAGAGAATGGATGGTTAATGAAGAAAGCTATTCAGAGATCTAGCTCCTAAAATAAAATAAATCTCTCTTGGTTAGAAAGTAGAAGCTTTTCATCTTTTATTCTTCAGGAAAAAATTTTTGCTTCCTGTGATGGCAAAAGCAGTAGTCCAGTGTCAGCCTTCCAGTTGGCTTTCAGATTGTAACAGAGTCCCAATATTATCATTTCTGTTTCATTTTGCTCTTTGAAATCTATCATCTGTAGAGATGACCTTCCTCATTCTGCCCACAGGAAAGTTAATAAAAGGTTGCTGGACATCTGTCTCTTTTCTCATGTACATTCCTCCACACCATCTACGTATGTTTCTTTGCTGTTCTTCAGTCCTCTCTTGTCTTCTGCTCTTTAGATTGATGGGAGAAAACTTCTTGCTCTGTAACTGTAGAGGAGGCAGCACCCAAGAGGATTCTGCTACCCAACTAGTCCTAGACACTGTGTGGTACCACTAGTACTAATGAAGCTGGCTGCAATTTGAAGCATTTTTACAGAGATGATGGCAAAAGGGCATATTCCTGGTGTGTAAGGATCTTTCCTGTCCAGCATAAATCAATATGCTTGCTACCATCCACTTTTTTTTATGTAATTCTGTGTAAAACACCTGTCAGATATACAGCTGTTTCCTCAAAGTGAAAATGCATTGACTAACCTCATGCATTTATTTATTCAGTTGCAGGTTTTCTATAATAATACACTAGAAGAAGATGAGAGAGAAACTGCTACTCTACTACTGGAGACTGCAAAAGCTGAAAACGTGGAAAGGAAAGAACTTCTAAGTAGAGTTGCTGATTGGCTAGATAAAAATATAGACAACTGACTGGGGAAAATAATTTCCAGTATATTTTAGAGTTTGATTCAGTAGCACACTGATATTTTAAGACGTAATTAAAGATAGAACAAATCTTTATGGTGCCTGAGATTATCTTCCCAACTGGAAATTCAGGCTAAACCAATTTTAAAAAAAAAATTAAAAATTCTGATTTCATATCAGAAATAAGATATATGTAGGTTGTGCCAAAAGTAATTCCTCATATTTAGTACAATGGAAACTACAGTAAATACAAAGAGAACCTTAACACCATTTGATAGAGCAAATTCTCAGCTACCAAACATTAACTTTCAACCTTGTCACTACATTAGCTGTGCATTCTTCCCAATGACAAAGAAAAGCAAGCATTCATAAAAATCTGTACTGGCAGAGAAGACCAACTATTTCACAGCTGCTATTATGGTGTCATTGCTAGGAAAAAGTTGCCCACACAGTCTGTCTTTCATCAGCCCAAATGGATGAAGTCAGAAGTGGGTGCAGTAGGACAATCCAGTCAAGACTGGCAATGTGCTCTGTGATCTTCAAACTGGTATGGGGTTGGCATTATTGTATTGTCTTCTTCCCTGGCTTCCCTCTGTAAGTTCAAGCCTTCAGCTTAGTTGGCACTGCAGTGTAGAGGTCAAAGTTTGATGGTTTGTGTGGGTTCCAGGAAATTCAGAAGGATCACGTTTTCCTACCCCACTAGACAGTTCATATCACTTTGCCTACTGAGGACTGCATATTGAACTTTCTCTTAGATTGCAAATTCACACTTCCCCACTCCATGGACTGCTGTTTTGACTCCAGCTTGTAGCAGTCACAGTACATCTTGTAAATGGTAATGATGCGATTCAGAAAACTGTCACCTTCAGCTTCATTTTGAAGTGTTCCAACATTACCACCATGATTTCCAAAGCATTGGAGCCAATATTAAGCCTTGTTCACAGTTCCCTGGTCACAATCTGCTCATTGTGTGGATGCGCTGGCTGAAAAGCTCTTCATTTTTTGTGGTGTGACAGTTCTGCATGCCCATGTGGAACATGGCTTGTCCTTCACATCACTGTCAACACTGCTGGCATGTGCCATCCAGCACCTCTCTGTGCTGACATACACTGTTTGATCTCTGTAAGTGTTCAGCATCAATGAATGTCAGTGGGTGCAATTTTTTCCTCACGTTTTCCTGTGAATTCATTGACACACCCTTCATATACACTCTCCTGTCAGACGCCATTCTGTCAGGCTGCCCCTCTGCTGCCATCTGTCACCGGGAGCAGCATGGAATGGGATAATGAAGCAAAGGGTCAGCCTCTACTGCCATGCCACCAACATCTCTGACATTGTGGGCCAACATAATAAAACAAGAGGTGTTATTTTCAGAGCAGTCCTCATGCATTTTCATGTTACATCTAAATTTACTTCCTACTGAATAAGTGGTCCACAGGGATATGTTGCTAATAATAACCCAATGCACAGATGCAGTCAGTCCTAAATTCTTTTCTGTGTTTTTCCCTGAATCTCTGAAGAAAGGGTGTGGTTCAAGTTTTTGGCAAAAACCATGATAAAGTGGGAAAAGTTTTATCTTGTTTTGCTTATGATCTACACTGCGGCCTTGGGCAGGTCATTTAATCTGTAACTCCATTTCTACATTTGTAAAGTGGATGGGGGATAATAAATACAGTGAAACATAAGCTTGTGAATGAATTCAGATCTGTGGAGAGGGATGAACTAAAGAAATACCAAATTTTAATTACAATAAAAAATGCTTCATTATTAAAACTTTATTTTTCCTTCTGTAAAGGCTTGTACTTAGTATGTCTAGATTTACATGTATGTTTTATTAGGAATGTGCTTTTGAAGAGACCCTCTTGGCTGTCTCTATTACCATTCATTAATCCCCAGGACAGTCTTGGAGGATCTGTGAACTGGATTATTTTTAAAGGAATTAAACCAGGAGATTATGAGCTCTTGGGATTCTGCTAATAGACTCAATAATCTGGTGGTCATTTTGCCCATGCCACTATAGTGCAACTAGCCTAACTAAACTCAGAAACATCACCAAGCATTTCCATTCTTATTGCAAAAATCTGCCAGCTAATATAGACACGTTTAATCATCTTGCTTACACAGTGCTTTGGGGGGGGATGGACAGACAAAATTTAGGCCTCCAGAGAATCAGGGTCAGCAAAATATATTTGCTTTTTTTTTTTTTTTTTTTTTTTTTTTTGTTGTTGTTGTTGTTGTTGTTGTTTAATATGGGGTCCTCAGTTCATGCGATTTATTTATTTGTATGGTAATAATATCATGACAAAGCTATCTGTACTGCTGCTCGCTGCTCTGGTTAACATAGAAAACACGGTTGTGTGGGAATGTAAGAGACCCAGTATTTCAATACCATACTGAGGAGAAAGGAATGAAAAAACAGCCTTGCTATCACAAAGAGATTTCCTCTGTTTACAGGCTAACTACATGCAAGGTAAACACTGCCATATTAGCTCCAGTGAATCTTCTGTTCTCTCCGCTGGTGCAAAAAAACCCCACAACCTGTAGGTACTGTAAGGATACTTGAGGATCCCTGGGAGAATTAACTGGTACAGCCAGGTTTGTGCTGAAACCTTTTTCTCTCTTAAACAAGCTGAGTGCAGTTTTGAGGGTTTTTGTCAAGCTGATTCAGACAGCAGAGCTAGGCTATGAGGAGCTAGAGGAGTTTTACCTGTGTTTCCCTCTAGTCAATCGACAGCTTTGCATTATTAGTCAGCAAAGGGGCTATACAAAACATGAGAAAGTTGTTGCTGCAGGATTAATGGACTAAAGCTTCTATTAAAAAAAAATATTATCCTGTAAAGCTTTTATGTTCAAAGCTTTTCTTTTCAACCAGGAGTAAACTCATCCTTTCTAACCATTCTTCCATTGCCTTAATATTCTTCTCGGGTCTTTTTCTTCTTTCTACTGAACAGAAATATAAATTTAAAAAGCTGATGTGTAAAGAAGGATTAAATAATTTTAAATAATTATACACAAAGAGTGGTCAATGGCTGGACATCACTGACAAGTGGTGTCTTCCAGAGGTCAGTACTGGGACCAGTGCTCCTCAGAATCTTCATCAATGACACTGACAACAGGATTCAGTGCTGTCATGGTTTTGTCACTGTTGGTTTTCGGTATTCCACATCATAACATCATGTGGGGCACTGGGAGTCGAACTGTTAATGCTGTTAAAGTTATGGGTACCTGTCCAGAAGAGAAGGACTACATTCCCCAGGGGACTTTGTGGTCACAGAGAGGAGATAGAACTCCTGGCAAGGTCACCTCATGGGCTCTTTTTTGTCTGCTCTTCTTCGTCAGCTCTCCTCTCGTCATGAAGTTCTCTGGGGGAAAGACCTGAGAGAATACAGTGGGCTGAACTTGTACAGCTGTCATATGCCTACCTTGATACAGTCTCACTGCCTCTGCTCAATGGGACTGGGGAAGAAAACGAAGTGACAAATCTCACAGGTTGTGACAAAGGCAGGGATACAACCGATAGTTACAGTCACGAGCAAAACAGGAAGCTGAGTATAATTCACTGCCAACTAAAACCGGAGGAAAAGGTAGAGAACCTATACCATAAACTATAACTGAAGCAACCCCCTGTCCCCTCCCAGGCTGAACTCCTCCTCAGACAGGACGGGGCCCTGGGGAACAGAGGCTGAGATCAGTCTGTGCAGGTTTCCTTCCACTGCACCTTCCTCACGCTCCCACGGTGCGTCACACCAGCCTTTCACAACCTCTTCTTGATGACACATAATTGTCTCCTGGGCCTTTATATGCATCCTTTCTGTCATGTGTTCTACCTCCTCAGTGACTGTTGCTAATTTGGGCCTTCAGAAACGAGAAAAGAGACAGAAATCCCTGCCGAGGGGTGTGGGTGGTGCAGCTGGAGAGAAGAAACAACGTTTTCCAGTCATAAAAATGAGCCCACGGTGATCTTTCCCCCCCCCTTTTCCACCGAACACCATCACCTGCCTTACATTTTAACAACAGAACCACGAAGCGCCAAGGAAACTATTTATCAATGGATTAGGTCCTCACAGCCTCATTTTTAAGACAGAGAAATTTGATTTCTTCTTCTCAGCTGCCCCTTTTGTGTTAGCTGCAGGATGCAGATGTGCGCCGGTGCATGAGGAGTACTGCCCCAAGAAGGATCCAGCCTAATCTGCTGCTGCTCTCCAAAAAAACTGCCAGCAGATATGTGTTTCCAATTGGTTGCAACTCTTTTATGTACTTATTGGAATTCAGTGGCGGAGGAAATTTGCGCTAGGGGAAGCTCACTGAAATTATTAGTTCAATATGCCTGCAGAATGAACATCAGTCTGGAGATGCTTGAATAATGCTCCTGTATTTTGAGAGATGAAACAGAACTCTGGACTTATGTCAGGCATGAAGTTTATACTGCAGATCTCACTGAAGCATAGAAAGAAGCTGCGCAGGTTTTAACAGAGATAGAGACTTTTTTTTTTTTTTTTTTTTTTTTTTTTTAGATTTGTGGCCAAAACAGTGCTGGCAATATGATGATGCTTCATTTGCTGCTAAGCAGTTCTAGCTCACAGTCACAAACTTCTCTGTTTATCATGCTTCCATACCAGCAAGAAGGCTGCTAGAGCACCAGAGGCTGGGAAGGAACACAGTTGGCCCTGGATAACCAAAGAGATGTCCCCTACCATATAGGTTGTGCTCAGCAATAAAAGCCTTGGGGCAAAGGAGGAAATCGGTTGTTCAGAGCGATACCATGTAATGAGCCCTGTTTTCCTGGAAGTACCTGGCCATTTGCCTTCTGATGGGAAAAAGTGAATAAATTCCTTGTTTTACTTTGCTTGCACGCATGGCTTTTGGTTTGCCTAGTAACCTGTTTTT